TTTACACATTATTATGTTTCCACTCTGCACAAAAACTTTTCCATGCTTGCAGACTTCTTAGTGTAGTGTTAAAGTTTAGCTCACTTCTGTGTCTCCCCGCCTATTGAAAGCAAGCACTGTAAATTCAGTGATCAATCACCAGTTGAAAGAAAACAAAATAATCTCAAAATCAGGTTCTCAGTGTTATGTCTTGATTGTCTTGCATAGAGAATAGTTCTCAGAGCACTGAACTTGAGTCATTGTGTAACCTTAGGCTTCTATATCTGGGAATACTGGGGCAAGTACACTATACTTTAGAAATACTCCCAGTAAACTGGTAGAGCTAATGATGTTTTGGTTCCTGGAATTCCCACTGGTGAATTTTTATTTGGCAAGGATAGGAGGCATATTGTTGACGATAGACCGAGTCCTGGCTTTGCCATTAACTGACTTTTAAACCTGGACAACTAACTTCACCTCTTCTATGCTTGGGTTTCTCATCTGTTATGTGAACGTCATTGTATCTCTCCCTGATGAATTAGGACAAGTAAATGTGGTTTTGTAAATGTGGCAATTACTGTATAAATTTAAGAATGCCCTATACAATATGGCATCCTGAATTATAATATGAGCTACTCTACTTCATGCTATATTGTTTCTTTTTATCTTACAGTGATTTCCCTCAAAACTTTTGAAGATTCATCCTTTGAGAAAAAGAAGGAGGCCTGGGCATTTTTTGAAGGTAAAGCTTGTATATATGTATATATGTAAGACACAGCTTCACTTTCAGATAAAAGAAAGGAATGGAATAGGAAGAAAATACCTTAATGTCTTAGTTTTGCAATAACATCAAGTAGTTTTCCTGACCTAAAGTTACTCAGTAGTAAAGAGAGAATTTCTGTTGGTATAAGCCCATAGACTTTTAAACCATGGAGGTTGAAGCATCAGTGTGCATAATTTATTATTATTAATTTTCGCTCTAGAATTCCTACTCCTACTTGATATTAGAGGGGTCGTCAAGTGATAATGTGGTATGTGGTATGAATGGTTAATGTCCTTTGCTGCTAACTGAAAGGTTGGAGGTTGAGTCCAAATAGAAGCAGCACCTCAGAAGAAAGGCCTGGTCTACTTCTGGAAACTCAGTCATTGAAACCCTATGGGACACAATTCTACTCTAACACACAAGGGGTTTCATGAGTCAGAATTGACTAAATGGCAACTTGTTAGTTTAAGTGATACAAAAACGAAAAATATTATGTAACTACATTCTATCTTAGGATTTTCTAAGGAGTTTGGATTTTTAGAAACAGTTTGACATCTTAAAGCAAGTAATTCTTAACCATGGATGCATGTTAAAATCACTTGAGGAACTTTAAAATTAAAACTGATGCCTGGAAGCCATCTCTGGAGATACTAATTTAGTTGATACATATTAAAAGCTTCTCAGATAGGGTCAAATTTAAGGGCCCTAATATATGGCATAAATAGACTATCAAGCATAATTCAAAATGCACAAACAGCAGAAGAGAAGACAGATGATTGGGACCTTCTAAAAATTAAATTTTTATGTGCTTCCAAAGACTTCTCCAAAAGAGTCAAAAGAGAACCTACAGATTCAGAAAAAATATTTGGTAATAACATATCTGACAAGGGACTTATCTCTAGAATTTATAGAACACTCCAACACCTCAATAACAAAAAGACAAACAATCCAATTAAAAAATGGGCAGAAGACATGAATAGACACTTCACCAAGGAGGATATTCAAGTGGGCAACAAACATATGAAGAAATGCTCATGATCATTAGCTATTAGAGAGATGCAAATCAAAACAATAATGAGATACCATCTTGCTCCAGCACTAGTAGCAAAGTTCAACAAGACAGAAAATAACAAATGCTGGCGAGGTTGTGGAGAGATTGGGACTCTCATACACTCTCATACCACTGTAAAATGGTACAACCATTGTGGAAAGCAATATGGCGATTCCTTCAAAAGTTGGAATTAGAAATACCATTTGATCCAGCCATTCCATTACTAGGTATATACCCTAGAGAAGTGAGAGCCATGACAAGAACAGATACATGCACACCCATATTCATCACAGCACTATTTACAATAGCCAAAAGATGGAAACAACCTAGATGTCCATCAACTGAGGAATGGATAACCAAACTATGTTACATACACACAATGGAATACTATGCAATGCTAAAGAATAATGTAGAATCTGCAAAATACTGCATAACATGGATGAACTTGGAGGACATTATGCTGAGTGAAATAAGTCAATCACAAAAGGACAAATATTGTATTAGTCCGTTATTGTAAAAGTTAAGGAAAGGTTTATCTATTGGAGGAAATTTTCTTTGTTGGTTACCAGGGGTTGGAGGGGAGGGGAGAGAAAGCTGTTAGATAGAGATAAGTATTGATTTGGGTGAAGAGAAGGGCAATGTACCAAATGCGAGTGACCAATATGGCAGCATTGAGGATAAGAAAGACATAGAGAAGTACATGGGAAGTACAGACAACAAATATGAACCCTTTTGCATATACAGTACTGAGTTGTCAGTGAAGGCAAACATGGGTATATAGACAGATAGATAGGTAGACAGGCTAAACAATTAGGTATGTCTAAATGGGGAGTGTATCCAAGATCATATATAGGGTTGGCAGACAATGGTCCTATAAGTTTATGTGAATGATCAGAATTCCCAGGTGTATAGTAGAGCTGACAAGGGGCAAGGTTGTAGTCACTGCTTGGTCACAGCCAGCTCCCCAGAGCGACCAAGTGGTTGAACCTGTGGGCTTGGGACCATAGTCGCAGGGGACATCAAGCTCAATTGGCATAACATACTATACAAAACATTGTTCCACCTCCTACTTTGGCGAATAGCGACTGGGATCTTAAAAGCTAGCAAGCTGCCATCTAGATGCAATGATGGATCACTCCTCGTCAAGAGCAAAGAAGAAAGAAGAAAACCAAAATTAATGGAAACAATCCGTCCTAGCGACTGGTACACCATCTGATCTGCAACCTATACAACTATGAGACCAGAAGAACTAGATGGTGCCCAGCTACCACTGTCATCCACTTGGAAGGGATGTAGGAGATCCTGGATAGAGAGGGAGAACAATGGGAACAAAACTCAAAATCATTTGGAGGCAAAAAAAAAAAGTGGGGACCAGGTTTGCTGGTCCAATAGAGCCTGGTGGAACCACTGAGACTATGGCCCCTAGCTGCCCTTCAGGTCTGGAATTGAACACACACCTGTGGCTCCAGCCAAACAAAGTACAGGCATGTGAGTTAAACATTTACCTCAAGTAGACACATGCCCTGGAGAGAACAATCATGGGAGAAGGAAGGGCTGCTTATGCACAGGGAGACAGCTCAGGGCGCAAGAGAGTGTGGAGGGATGGACACGGGAAGAAGTAACTATGGGGAGGAAGTGGGAGCTGTTGCATTGTGGTAAATTTTGGTCAATGACATGAGACAAAGTATATGTGAACTGCTGTATGGAAAGTGAATTTGCTCTGTAAATCTTCATGCAAATCAAAATAAATAAATAAATAAAAATAAATAAATAAAAGCTTCTCAGATTGAGGATCACTGCCTTAGAGCAGGGGCTCTCACAGTGTGGTCCCATACCAGCAGCATGAGCATCACCTGGGAGCTTGTTATAAATGCACATTGTTAGACCTTACCCCACTTTACTGAATCAGAAACTCTGAGTGGGGGGGGAGTGCCCAACAAACTGTTTTAACAAGACTTCTAAGTAATTCTGATGCACATCTTTCAGATTTGAGGTTTAGAGAGCTGGTTCCCAACCAAAGGTGATTTTGCATCCCTCCCCAGCCCCCCACCCCAAGGAGTCATTTGCTAGTGTCTGGAGACATTTTTGGTGGCCACAACTATGGGCGTGCCACTGGCATGTAGTGGGTAGAAGACATCTGCTAAACACCTTACAAAGTACAGGATAGTCCCCATAGCAAAGACTTATCTAGCCTGAAATGCCAAAAGTGTCTAGGTTAAAAAGCCTTGCCTTAGAATAAGGAAAAGTCATGGAAGTGATCACAAAGCATTTGAGAGTTACAACCATAAACAACGAAAGAATGCACTCCTTTATGAGTTCTTGGGCAGAGCTATTGATGAGCCCAAACTCACTGTCATCACGTTGATTCCAACTCATAGTGACCCTACAGGACAGAGGAGAACTGCCCCATAGGGTTTCCAAAGCTGTAAATCTTTATGGAAGCAGACTTCCTCATCTTTTGCCTGCAGTGTGGCTGGTGAATTTGAACACTGATCTTTGTGGTTAGCAGCTCAACCACTGCACCACCAGAGCTCCTTATAAGCAAAGATTGATTATTGTTAAAAGTTGATCAGGAACTTGTAAACCATTACATCTTGTGAAAACATGGGATTTGTGGATAATTAATGCCCTTGCTAAACAGATTTAAAGATCTGGTGTTTCTTGGGACCTTGCCATCTGCCTTGGTTAATCCAACAGAGTGTAGTGGAAGTAGAGCTGGACTTAGACAGAGAGCATTGGCATTCAGCTCCTCTTCCACTTAATAGTTATCATGCAGTGTTTGGTGGAAGCAGGGCTGCACTTAGAGAGCACTTGGAATCAACCTCCCCAAAAAACTCACTGTTGTCAAGTTGGATCTGATGCCTAGTGACCCCTCCTTGAGTTTCCAAGGCAGTATTTCTACGGAAGTAGATTGCCCAACCTTCTTTCCAAGGAGTGGTTGGTGGGTTTGAACCTTCAGCCTTCTGGTTAGCAGTCAAATGCCTTAAGCACAGCCAGCTCTTCCAATAACTGGCCAGTGGATTGAAGCACTTCTTTCCTTAGAAAAATGTAACTATAATTTTGAACACAGTTTGCAAATTATAAGGTGCCACACGTGTAGGCTGTTGTGATTTATTGTATAGTTTTGTAGTCATAAGTATTTTGTTTTTCAGATTGCACTGTATTCTAACAATGACCCTTTGTATTCCCTGACTTTTCTTCTGCATGTTTTCTAATGGCCTCTTTCTTAATTTGATGATGTTGTCCTGAGAAAATAATCTCTAGTTCTATCCCTAGGCTCTCATTCAGGGAATGCCTATTCTTTGGCAAAGAGATGAAAGTAACTTTAATCCTCCTAGAATGAAGCAAGAAGAAGCAAAGTTTACGTTTTTATTTGCTACTTAGTAAAACTGAGGTGACTCAGTTGATTTACTCCACATTTCTGGAGCTGCACTGTGACCCAGGAACTGTCATGAAAGGGTGTGTGGAGATGGTCCTGGAGGATTCTCACTGTCTCAGAGTGGGAGCTCTGTTTGTCATCAGATGCTTAAGAGTCTGTTGGGGAGTGTGTTAGCATCCCTGACTCTGGGCACCACCCTGAGATTCTAGTGTATTATTTTTAGGAAGGGATCAAAGCATTTGCATTTTAGGAGAGCCTGAAGAGGTTCTGATGTAAGTAGACCACATTTTGAGAAATATCTTCATAGAAAAAACAAAACTATATATTAGGAAAGATTGCAGCATTTACTACTGATACACTTTGCAGCATAATTAACATCTCTAAAACACTTAGTAAAATTAACAGTATTTTATAATGTGTAGCTATAGAATAGTAGCTCTGGTGGTGCAGTTAAGGCATTTGGCTGCTAACTAAAAGTTCAGTGGTTCAAATCCACGAGCCACTCCATGGGAGAAAGATGAGGTAGTCTGCTTCTGTAAAGATTTACAG